TGCAGTCAAAAAAAGCAAAAAGAACCATTAAGAAAGGGATAGAGAATAAGACAGAATATCTTATTGCTTTTATATAAATGCACAGTATGCCCACATCTTGAATACTACATGCAGATACATACATGTAGTATTTTTTATTTCAAAAAGGTTATCTTGGCACTGGAAAAAGTTCAAAATAAGGTAACAAAATGATCGGGGCATGGAATGTCATTTGAGGAGAGGTTAATCAGACTGGGGTTTCTCAGCTTGGAAAAGAGGGGGATATGAAAGAAGGGGGATATGAAAGAAGTCTATAGAATCATGACAGATGTGGAGAAAGTAAATAAGAAAAAGTTATTTACTTTTTCCCACAATGCAAGAAGTAGGAGTCACCAAATGAAATTGATAGGTAGCAGGTTTTAAACAAACAAAAGGAAGTATCTGTTCACACAACACATAATCAACCTGTGGTGGTTGTTGAAATCAGGTCTTTAACAGGATTCAAAAAAGAACTAAATTAATTCATGGAGGCTATTATCCAGGATGGTCAGGAATTGTGTTCCTAGCTTTTGACTGTCAATAGCTTGGAATGAGCAACACAGGGTCGATCACTTGATGATTATTTGTTCTCTTCATGCCCTCTGGGGCACCTGGCATTGGCCACTATTGGAAGACATGATACCGGGTTAGGTAGACCTTTATTCTTACCGGCTACGTCTAGACTGGCCACTTAAGACGGAATAGGCATGCAAAGCAGGCAAGTCAGAATAGGGAAATCTTGCAAGTAGGAATACGAGATCCTCCAGAAAAGGGCTTTATTCCGGAGGATCGCGCCAGTCTAGACGCTCTTTTCCGGCTTTTCCCCAAGCCGGAAAAAAAGCGGCGGCCATGTTTATTTAAATCCCACGGGGGATATTTAAATCCCCCGCGGATTTCCCTATTCTGACTTGCCTGCTTTGCATGCCTATTCCGTCTTAAGTGGCCAGTCTAGACGTAGCCACCCAGTATGGCAATTCTTATGTTATTGACTTGAAAAAGATATCTTTCCGAGAAGTGTGAACGGTCTCATTTACTAGAATAAATGGTAGAATCTGAATTTAACTTGGCAATATAGTAATTTTTCAGTGCTGATTATTTTAACATAAACATTCAGATCATGGGCTTATCCAAATTTTCTGGGTGCAGAGATTGGGACTGAATCAGAGATCAGAGGAAATTACTAGTACTACTTATTAATACAGGGAATTAACACTTCAAGGCTCCCCAAAAAACTGAGGTGCAATCTTCCTTGATCCACAACAGGAGAAAGAGAAAAAGTATTTCTTCCCCATTACCAAAAGCCTCAATCATTTCATGGGTTCAAAAACCCAAATTGCATCCCACCGTTCTTAATGTATGTCCCTTAATGCCGCTACTATTTATACAGCTGTCAAACCCTCCTATTTACCCTGAGAAATATTACAGTGCTATTATGTGTAATGAATAAAAATTCTGTGACACCCTCAAATGAAAATTGGAGGCAATTAAAAACTGAACATTTCTGTTATTCAGATTTTACTATTTTTCATATCAAATCTAATCATACAAGGAACAACATACTGATCTTAATATTTAACTCAATCTGCCTGATTTTCAGTTTACTGGGAATTGACTTGCGATCAAAAGAAGATATGAGTAAGGAATGTGTATGGCTAACTAGTTTCCCCTTCAGCAAATTCTGTCAACACAAATTACTTCTCTTTTAGCATGTCTTGTGTTTATCTAAAATTTGCTACATTCCTCTTCAAGAAATAAAAAGACTGAGACCATCCCTCAACTAATTTTTTTATCACCAAAATCTCAGAGTCGATCCTAATAATCTGTAAATAGCAACACAGTTACTTGCAAGACTATTTAATTCAACTTATTCAACTAACATTCAGAAATTTTTTTTAGTCCTCCAATCTGGTCATGTGACCACCCAAGTTGGAGGACTGAAACAATCAGTTGAGTGTTTGGTTCAATAACAGTGCCTTATGTCACTACTTTTTTATTGATCGATGACCCTTTTGCATAGGGGTAATCCCCCAGTGATTGGCCAAGCTAGCTTTACACTCTTGCAGTAAGATAATAACACAAAACTTATCAAAATGCAGCCCAGAAACTGGTCCTACATTTTTAAAAACATAAAAGGGCTTCCTACATGCATCTTCACAATCCCTGGTCTATATTGCATCTTTAATCAATTCTTAACTTGCTGGCATTTATTTTTTATCTTATCTTCCTTACAGTCTTACTATCATTATCCTCTGCAGCTCTTACCATTTGGAATACCTCTCTACTATTTCTTTACCTTCCACATTCTTGGCTTGTTTTAAATATGAAAATCTATATTTTCTCCTTATATTGATTTATCTTAATGTCTAACAATTCTGCAACTGCAAAGAATTTTGAGATACAGTATGTTCAATAGATGACATGTGATGTCATATATAGAAATATATTAATAATGTAACCCAGTAGTTTCTCAAATTGCATCTTTTTTAAGATACTGTATCTCAAAATTTTCTCTTGATTGCAGAAACAAATGGTTAAATGTCAGTTTAGTTTATCAATTTAAAATCTTCACCAGAAGACAGATAAAGTATAGATCATGTTCAGAATATTTAGCAGGCTCACACATGCATAATTGTTAAAATATTATTTTCCAAAAAATATGTATGTTTTTACCCAGCTCCTAATGGGTCTTAATAAGTCTTTGCACAGACAAATCCCCCACTGATGAGCAAAGACTGAATAAAAATGGAGTAAAACCTTCCCAGTTGTCTCATATTAGGCACACAATGGACAGCAACATTTTTGGACTGTTACACAAAGGCCAGTCCTACAAAGATTTACTTGCATAAATAGTCATTATTGGAATCAATGGGACAAATAGTGAACATTTCTCACATAAGTAAGGATTTGCAGGACTAGCCCCAAATCTGTATTTAAGGTCTTCTTAAAACTGAGCCAGATTCTCAGTTCCAGTTCCTTTGTGTCATGTAATTAGCACAAAGGAGACATAATTGACTGTAGCTGAACAGCTGAGTGTAAGAGAATTCTCAACTGGAATGTAAGTAATGAAACCAACTCTTACATCAGTCACCTCTCCATTGCTGGCACTGGAGGGATGGCAGGGATGATTAAGGGCACACAGAAGAACCCTACACTCTATAGCAATTCCTTCAGTGAACATACTCAGTTGTCATAAATTACAGGAGCTACAAGGCTGCTCTAACTTGTGTCAGGGCTGGTGTAATTTGAGAATGAATCCTGGTGAAGGAAAGAATCTGGCCCTAGATATTTGTGACCAGAGAAACAGTGATAGCTCCTACTACTCTTAAACAATTACTGTCTTTTTTATCCTATTTCACAGGACAATGATGTATTTGGCCAAGTGATTGTTTTCAAAACAATTTCAATTGTTTTAGTAATGTTTTTGATATACAGAAGAATTACCTAGACAATGTATAACTAAAAGCTGAATTTAGCCATCTATAGATACTAAATTTATAAACTAAAAGTTCTGTATTAAATTTTTATTAAGAATAGAAGCAATTCAGTTCAATCCAATAACTTGACTTCTTTCAACTTATACAAATATCATAACAAAGAAACAAAACACATACCACATGTACAATCAGTGAAGTTCTTTTTGCATATTCATAAAACTTGACAATGATTGAAGTCATATATCTCAGAATTTTAGGACCTATTGCAGAGTCTATGGAAGTCCATGGAAAGACAACCATTGACTTTAAAGTACTTTGATTACCATGATCAGAAGGCTAAACCTTTGCAAACTAAGGCTATGTCTACACTGCAGAGCTTTTCTGGGATACTGGAGGTATCCTGGAAAAGGTCTGCCATATCCAAGGAATGCATCTGCTTTTCCAAAAAAAAATTTGGAAAAGCAGATGCATTTTTTTCGGCATCCCTGTAAACCGTGTTCTATGAGGAAGAAAGGATGTTTCAAAAGAGGGGGTTTTGGACATTTGGACCTGTGTAGTTGGACCAAATGTTGGAAAAGCCTCTTTCGGAAGAAAAGTAGAATAAAATATGCAAATCGTGGTTCACAATTTGCGTATCTTTTTCCGACTTTTCTTTGTAGTGTAAACATAGCCTAAGGCCCCATATTGTATCCTAGTCTATGTATGTTCATATACTGTACATATCACTGTACTATCTCAGTACCATGCACTTGGAGCAGAAGACAGAGAGGCTTGCAGTAGTCATTAGTTGGATAGCTCATTCCACAGGCTTATACTAGCCCCTGAGAAATGTCTATCTTCTGCACAGAGGAGCTTTATCCATATTGTACAGTAGGGTATGCAGACTTAAGTTCATTCTAAACTTTAAGTATGTGAGTAGACCCATTGAGCTCAATGTTGTGCTCTATAAGGATGGGGGCTATATTTCCAAACTCAGTTCCTGTCTTAAAGTCATGCAAAGAGTGGCACTGGAAAGACAGGGATAAATGAACCTTGTTTATGCTTTATGCAATATCTGAGAGAGCAGAAAGGATTCTGCTTAAGATCTTAAGGAGATGAGTATCCCACTTTCTTATATGCAGTGTATCACTTGGTTGGGATTAACTAAAATAAGGATTGGCAGAACTCAGACTTGAATTCTGAGGATTGGCAGAACTCAGACTTGGATTCTGGGAACTGGCAGAATTCTGACTTGAACTGAGACTCACACACATATATAAGTCAAAGTAGAATTGAAACTGAAAAGCAAGCTAATGCCAATATTAAGCCACATTATTTCTTTTTCTAATGCATGTGCAGTCTAACACAATTGCTTACACGGGTGGATCTACTTTTGCTAATCTAAAACAGAACTGTGTACATCACTAAACTAAATGTCTCTACATACTAAAAATTTCACACCAAAGTGAAAAAAATAAGGTACATCAAGCACACACTCATTACAAAAGCATGAAATGTAATGCTTCTATAGTCTCATGCTTTCATGTGGTTTTCCAAACCCTGACAAACCTGGCTCAGAATGGTGTTTCTTTTTCGGCAATGGTTTGTCATCAGTTATTGTACCATTCACCTTTTTCTGCTGGTCCTCCCATGTAACTTCTAGCATAAACCAAAAGAAATCAGAACTTGTCAGAAACATTATTTAACTTCCATTTAACACCTAACATCATTTGGAACAGCTTAATCTAAACAGGTAAACTTTATCTGCCAGGGTAAAACTTAAGTTCTTTAATTAATTGTTTTCATCAAATGTGTTAAAATACAGAACAGGACATACCATGTATATTAATCCCCATACAATCTATCAAATATTTCAGTTGTTCTCTCTGCTATAATTAACATTTTTCTTAAGAAAACATGTATATTATATTGGACAGTGATTATTCAATTTTTAAAGATCAGCGTGTTTATAATCTACAGAGTTTTAGGATATTCTTATATTTCTTTAAATTAAAAACACATTAAAAATGAAAAGTAATTTTGGTAAAAAAAGGCTTTGTAAATTTGTAATTCGAACAAACAAAAAATGAAATTATAAACCATGTATGTTCCTTTTTAAATCAACAGGCTATTTCAAACAAATACATTATTTGAGTTACCTGCATTCTTTATTAAAGTATTTATGCTTAAAATAGTCAAGGTTTCCATTTTTTTAAAAAATTCATAAATATTCAATATTTTAACTTACAGTTTATAATAAAGTTTTGGGTTCTGTTATCTTTCATTTGGTACAATTAGAGGTATAGATCTCTCAATCCGCACTCCTCTACAATGTAAAAGAGCATATCTGACCTCAACACCAAGGTAAGTTATCAACAGAAGATTATATACCCTTGCTCACCTGGCTCTAAGGCTGGGCCTGAATCATTCTTTTGATTCTGAAGGATTCTAAACTTTCTTTCTTTGACTGTGATAATATTTTGAGCCTAAAGGTTTACTCTCCATTTTTGCTAGGGTTAATCTAACCTCAGCAATCTCCTTTTTTTGTTTAAAAATTTTAAAAAATAATCTGTTACAAAAGGGGAAGTTAGACTTCTCCCCTCTCCTGGCTGCTTCATTTTGTGGTCAGAAGAGAGGACTCCTTCCCCGAGTAGTGGCTGGGTACCTCTCCCCCAGCAGCAGCAGCTCCATGCTAGGGTCAGGAGAGAGGCACCTCTCCCCCGGGCACAGTGCCCAACCCAGAGCTGCTGCTGTCAGGGGACAGGAACCCCTTTTTTGGCCCCTCCCCAGTCTAGTCCAAATCTGTCCAGCTGAGGAACAGGTGCCCCTTCCCCAGTTGTGTCCTCTGCAGCTGCTATAACCATGGAGAGGTGTCTCTCACCTGGCCCCAAGATGCTGCAGTGAGAGAGGGCTTTGGGTAGTCCTCTATCCTGGGGCAGCCTGCATGTCCAGATCCAGCCAGAGTCCTCAACCCACACCCGAATCCTCTGCCCCATCCCTGAACCTCTTCCTGAACTCCAATCCCCTTGGCACCACCCCCTTCACATACTGTGTGTGGAATGACTTTTTATATGATACGATACATCACCTCCATATTGGTGCACATAATAAAAGTCATTCTGCACTTGAACACAAAAAATTAGAGGGAACAGTGATGATCACGATCATCTAATCTCAATTCCTGCACATCACAGACCACAGAACTCACCTACTCACTCTTGGAGTACACCCATAACTTTTGGCTGAGTTTCTTAAGTCCTCAAGACTAGTTTAAACTCTCAAGTTACAGAGAATCCACTTTACAGACTTATGCTGCAAAGGAACATGAAAATCCCAGGGTTTCTGCCAATCTAACCAGGGGACAAGTCCTTTCCAACCCCAAATATGGCAATCAATTAAATTCTCATCTTGTTAGCAAAACCTACCAGCTACACAATGGAGAAAGAATTAACTTCAGGAACTCAGAGCTCTGTCCATCTAACATCTCATTTCCAGCCATTGAGGCTATTTGCTACTTGCAGAACTTCACTACTCTGATAGTTATGGATCTTTGTCTAATTTCAAGTCTGAATTTGTTGATGGCCAGTTCATGTCAATTTGTTTTTGTGGCAGGACTGGTGCTTCCTCCTCCTGGAACTTATTCCCCTGATGTATTTACAGCCATATCATATCTTCCCTCTCCTTCCTTTAGTTAGGTTAAACAAGTAAAGCTCTTTGAGTCTTCTGTGATAAAGTTATGTTTTTCATTCCTTTGTTGATCCCAGTAATCCTCCTTTGCACCTGTTCCCATTTGAATGCATATTTCTTAAAGACACAAGACAAGAATTGCACATCATATTCCAGACAAGTCACCAACAATGCCTTGTATAAGGCTATGTCTACACTACAAAGAAAAGTCAGAAAAAGATATGCCAATTGCAAACCACAATTTTCTTTTGAAAGAGGCTTTTCTGAAATTTGGCCTATCTACATGGTCCCAAAATTCAGAAAAACATCCTCTTTTGACACATCCCTTCTTCCTCATGCAATGAGGATTACAGGCATGGTAAAAGAATGCGTCCGCTTTTTTGGAAATTGTTCCAAAAAAGCGGATGCATTCCTTGGAGGCGGCATAGCATTTCCTGGATACCTTTGGTATCGAGGAAAACCTCTGCAGTCTAGATATAGCCTTATAGTACTAACACTTCCCTACCTCTACTGGAAATTCCTAACTTGATGCATCCTAAGACTGTGTTAGCCTTTTTCATGACCACATCACAGTTGGGGCTTAGTTATCCTGGGTATGTCTACACTACAGCACTAATTCGAGCTAACTTAATTCGAATTTGTTAATTCGAAATAAGCTAATTTGAATTAGTGCATCTAGACCTAAAAACTAATTTGAATTAGCATTTTGCTAATTTGAAATAGCATGTCCACATTGAGTGGACCCTGAACCGAAGTTAAAGCTGGCCAGAACCAGTGCCGGCAGGGCATCAGAGTGTGGAGCTGCTGCCTCAGGCCAGCCGAGGGCTATGCTTAAAGGGACCCGAACCACACCCCGGACAGACAGTTCTCAGGGGTCCCCACTTGCTTGTCTAACTCAATGAGGGACAGCAAAGCAGTCCTGTCATCTGAAAATTTTATTAGCACACTCCCACTTTTTGTGCCAATGTCATTGATGCAAATATTAAAAAAGATTGGTCCCAAGACTGATCCCTGGGAAACTCCACTACTAATTCCCTCTAGCCTAGTAGTTCATTTTCAGTATGCTCCATTGTAATCTCCTCTCTAACTAGTTCCTTCCCACCTTTCAATTCTCATATTAATTCCCATCTTCTCCAATTTAATATTTCCTATGTGGAACTGTATCAAATGCCTTACTGACATGCAGGTAGATTATTTCATTTCCATTGCTGAATAAATCAGTTATCTTTGCAATGAAAAAAACCAGGTTGCTCTGGTGCAATCTACCTTTTTTAAAATTATGTTTATTTTATCGCAATTACCATTTTTCTGTATATTGATATAAAAGACAAATACCAATGGTAGGTAACCTGCAGCCCATCAGAATCTGTGTGTGGCCCACAAGACATTTCGTTTATCTTTGCCCACCTGCGGGGTTGCCAGAGTCCACTGATTTCCATCTGCATAGGATTTTTCCTACTGCTATTACTAAAGTGGCATGCACATACAGCAAGGGCATCTGAAGTGAGGTGCCTACTGATTACATACAACATTGACTGTGAGCCTTGCTCTCCTTATACATCCAATCAAAGTGCAGCTAAGATTCAATCACCACACTATGCAAATTCTAGGGGCACACACACAGTTAGCAAAACTAGCCTATCCCTGGAGACTGTCTTGGATATGACAATCTTAAGAACCACTGAGATGAAGGAGGGCCACTCATGCATCCCGTTCACTAGCGTAAGTTGCCCATTGCTGCTCTATATCCTCTTTCAAAACATGTACCAAGGTCTTACATACAATGGAGGTCAAACTAATGGCCCTCTCATTCCTGGATCACTTTTTCCCACATTCTGAAAAAGGTACTAAATAAGAAATACTCTACTTCCCAGGATACAACCCCCAAATTTACAGATTAATTAAAAGCCCTTGCTATTGGACTTGCATATGCTCATATGCTAGTTCCTTTATGTGTCTGAAAAAATCTTTGTCTTCATTTTGAATTATATTACTAAACAGATTCTGTAATTCAACTTCTGAAAATTCTGAAAGTATTAATTTCATGAAATAATCATCTCCAGTTCTAACCATGTCTATCCTATTGCCAGTTAGACCATATGCACATCTGCAGTGCCATTTGAACTATCAATGCAGTGCTGGTAAAAAATCTGTGCTGACCTTGAACTAATCATGGAATTAAGAATAAAGTGTCATTCACTCAGACATTATTAGACAGAGTGGTCACTATGGAAGTTCTTCCAGTCACATCACAGCACATTTTTGATGCTATAGACATAACATTTAAGATGTTGTGAAAGCAAAAATTATAACGGAGTTCAAAAAAATACTAGATATATTCATGGAGGCTAGGTCCATCAATGGCTATTAGCCAGGATGGGCAGAGGTGCAAAAGCATACTCTGAAGTGTGTCTCAGTTTGCTAGAAGCTGGGAATGAATGACAGGGGATGGATCACTTGATGATGACCTGCTCTTTTCATTCCCTTTGGGGCATCTAGCATTAGCCATTGTTGGAAGATATTGAGCTAGATGGATCTTTACTTTGATTCAGTATGACTGCTCTTTTGTTCTTAATGTATGCTATTTTGCTGTAGAAAAAACAAGATAGATAGCAACTTACATATTATCACTAAGAACAATGACTGGTCCTGTGGCACCTTAGAGACTAACAATATATATACATATATTATCATGAGCTTTCGTGGGCACAACCCAATTCTTCAGATGAGTGAAGACGTAGGTTGTGCCCACAAAAGCTCATGAATCTATCTATCTATCTATCTATCTATCTATCTATCTATCTATCTATCTATCTATCTATCTATCTATCTATCTATCTATCTATCTATCTATCTATCTATCTATCTATCTATCTATCTATCTATCTATCTATCTATCTATCTATCTATCTATCTATCTATCTATCTATCTATCTATCTATCTATCTATCTATCTATCTATCTATCTATCT